TCCTGCTCTTAACAGAATACTTCCCACGACAGACACTGGATAAGCCAATTGATTTTGAAGGGCTTTTCCTTCTGCTCAGGAAAATCCTTCTGATCTAATTCTCCACTGAAGGTCCTGTGTTAAAAGAGGTTTCTGGCCAATGAAACCAGAAATCTGAGGAGAGATTTACTCATTCCTTGAATGAGTTGTCTTCTTTGTGTTTCAGAGCACAGCTATACCTCCTTCGCAGCGGCTAGTGATCATGTTGGCAATTTCAGTCCAACTGTCCATATGAGGGTTATAGACTTCAACAGAGTCGGAGGTTACCGGAGCAGCAAAATCAGGACTGGGCGCTCGGCCTCCCAAGGCATAGAGAAGTCCATTCACAGCCGCAACACAGACACCAGCCCTTGGTATCTTCATCGGAGCAACTTCAGACCACTTCTCCTAATAAGCACGTGGAAGAGTCAGCAAGTAGTTTTAGGGCAAGCACTGATTCTGGTAAAGTAACTTCTAAAGCTTAAAGACTGAAACATATACACATAACACTATGTACAGACTTCACAGGGTCAAATACAGTATGTGTACAGTAAGTATCAAGAGGATTATCAAGCCAGGAATGACAACACTTTCACCAGGGCTCCAAATCGTGTTAGTCACTAAAGAGCAGATCCCATACTGTCTGTACACAACAGCCCTCCCTTTCTTCAGACACTGCAAGATGCAGTCTATCTCTAAAATACAGAATGGTACAGTTTGAGGTGGGAAATGAGGAAAACTAGATTTGATTCCAAAAGCAAAACAGACTGGCACACTGGATTATGTTCTGGTTTTAACAGTAGCTACTCTTCCAAAAAGCATCATAGAAACATGAGCAGTAACAGTCAGGAATAATCTCTTCTCTTATTCTAGTCATGATGGAACACCACTACATTTTGATGCAGAAGAAAGATCCTCAGCTTCTGCAACAAAAGGCAACTCTTACCTTTTCAGTAAGCTTTTTCTCTCTGTTCACATTATTAACCTTTCTATTGCAAAAGGGGAATCTATCATCTCATCTTAACCCTAACAAGTATTTACCAAACTACAGTGTTATCTGTGCATGGTTAAACCACGACAACTATTTAGGACAGACTCTGTGGTCACTGAAAATTTGTTTTACTCTAGATTACCAGGCAGTAGTGAAAAGGAAATGGAATTTCCACCTTTTTAAAGAAAGGAAGCAGGCTACCTCTATAGCACCTTACACAAAGCTGATGCAATCTGCATTTATGAAAGGAAGGGACTCTACCATACCTCTTCAAATGAGTATCTTTCCACACTAGCAAGTGCCTCCTGAGATTCATTCCAGCCTCCCACAGCATAGATACAATCATTGAGAACAGCTACACCAAGATATGCTCTTCGTGTGCTCATTGGAGGGAGCTCAGACCAGCGTTTAGATATTGGGTCGTAGACGTCAACAGAACGTAGCTCTGCCTCTTCACTGCTGATGCCACCAATGACATAAATCAAACCTGTAGGAACAGAGTTTCTCCTCTGTTAGGCTTCATAATACAGAGAAAGACAGAAAATGACTGTCACAATACAAGTTTCAGCCTGACATTAAGCTGGCTTGCGAATGACAGATAAAATCCTCCATTTGTTCACCAGCAACATACATAAAGCTTTTGAATGAGTAACTTGAGGCTTGAGCACTAGAAGCTCTGATGAAAGCAGTAATTAATCAAGTGCAGGGGAGGGAATTCAGAAGGCTGCAACTGCTGACCAGGCCTGGATCAAATACTTAATAAGCACATTTAGAGATCAAGTCTTTAGACGTGTCTGTCCTACAATAACCTGTCGCAACTCTTCAGATTGTCACAAAGAAACACAAACAAATTCAAATATGGAAGATAAGTAAAAGCAGTATCAGGAAGGACAATCAACTGTTAAAAGACTAGCTGGATAACCATACTGGCAGGCATGTAAAAACTGTTTTCATGAGATAAGAGGCAGAAGACAAGAGAGAACTTCATAGTCTTTGAGTTCTGCAGGATTGAAAACATGGTACTAGAAGAACAAATAAGTGAGGCACGAGCATGTGTGACTGACAGCTCAGTATAAGATAAAGGCAAGAATTATAACTGAAACATAAAGCTTCAAAATCCAATGGCTCTTGGAGCTGTTTATGGATACAAACTTAACAGTATTCACCTTGCATTTCACAGCACCCAAAGCAGTAACGGGGCATAGCCATATTCCCCACCACATCCCAACTGTTTTGTTCAGGATCAAATCTTTCAATTGTGTCACCAATCTCTGCTCCGACCCAACCTCCTGCAAGTAACAACAAACACAGGAAAGAATTTAATGGCATAAAGCTGTGTGTTAGCTGCATTTTATACATACAGTGCACTGCTCCAGGACAAGTTCTGAAACCAGCATGCAGTCAGACTGCAATAGAGATAAGTATATATAATACATATGCTCTGCTAAGTATACAACTATATATACTATACTGTACTAGATAAAACATATTATATATGCTATAAATATATATACACTATTATATATAATACATAAAGATTTGGTATACTAATGCTTATGGACACAGATGGTTTTCAAAACTTAAGTTTGCAGATTTGCATCACCAAGATGTAATTTTTAAGATCAAATCAATTTGCACTTTCCATGAATTAACATCTGACTTCACCTAGGAAAAAAACAGAATTTACCCAAAGCATAGATAGCACCATAGCATGCGCACACTCCCAGTCCACAACGGGGATGGTTCATGGAAGCCACAGTGGTCCACTGCTTAGTAACAGGATCATAACATTCAGTACAGTCAAACATCATCGAGTTGTCCTCACCTGCATAATAACAGCAAGAACAGAGACAGGGGAAACACAGTGTTTTGCACTACAGATATGGAAGCATTCAACTCCTTCTAGGACAGGCAACATTTGAATATAAGATGTATCTGTTAGGTAGCCAAACAGCTAACATAGCACAAACTGCATTTATACCCAGAACTGAATCATCACTAGGAACTGCTTTCATCAACAGTTCCCTGAAACGTTCCTGAAAACATCAGAGGGCTGAACAATCACAGTGCTGCACACTTTTTTCTCTGCAGCACAACTGACAGGGTTTTCAAGGCCAAATAATGTGTTCTGCCGTGACAAAAACAGTATACATATGCATTCTTTCATGATGGGCTGGTAGAGCTACTCATCACATCCTTCTGTGAACACACCTAACGAGCCTTTCCAGGCAGGCAGACCAGAAGTGGTCTGTCCTGTGCTACTGCCTGTTATGCTGTGAGCTTCTGCTAGACTACAAGTGAGAAAAGAAATTCTACCCGTGGTGGTACACAAAGTCCCCAGAACAGCCAACACCTCTTAGTATATCTGCATATGTCCACATGCTAACCTGTGAGTTGCTACACCCTGAGGGGAGACAGCTTAGTATAAAAACTGGCCAACACAGGAGCCCAAACAGGCATTCACAGAGCAGCGATGGTAGAGAACCAAGAAACCCCAATGCAATTGCTCTTGTACCTAAAAGTTGTATTATCCACTGTTGGGTTCCTCAGAACCACTTGCAAGAAGAATAAATCTAAAAATCTCCATGCATGAGTTCTCTAGTGTTCATGAAACAAATAAAACATACTTCAGCTGTTACCTCCAATGGCATAGACCATTCCTCCCACCACAGCCACTCCCAGCCCACTCCGGGCCTGGTGGAGAGAGGACACTGTGGTCCAGTAGTGGCTGAAGGTGTCAAACCGCTCCACACAGCTGAGGGCTCTGCTGTCACTCCAGCGTCCTCCTTGCAGTCGGGTGTACCCACCTGGAAAATAAGTGGGAAGACCACGGCCAAGTCAGAGCTTCCTGCTCATCCCCATGCTCCTAAACCACTAAAAAAATTATGGTAACAGCCATTTAGCCACTTTTAGTAGGAACTGGATTTTTCCAATATCTTGGTTTCTCCAGCACATAAAGGCAATGTAAGAGTGGTTGCCTTGAGGGTCATGTGCAAAGCTAACACCACAACACTACAATCCATGTTTTCAGTAAAACACAGGGACCAGCCAAAAGCCTTTGCCGTCAGTCAGTGCTACTTCCCACAGGGTGAAACAAACATATTCCCTTCCAATGTAAAGCTGCAGCATTGCTGAAAACTTGCAATCTCAAGTATCCCATCACATGAGCCAAAGTATCCTGGACAGAGAAAACTCCAGCTGAAACAAGAACAGAGTGCAGTGAATTTGCACACACCATCCCAGCAGTGAGCCCTGGGTGAATCCTCTGCTGATTTGCAGCTTTCCACCCCAGGCAAACTATTTTTGAGCAGTGAATCTGGGCTTTGAATGCCATGTCATAATGACAAGAAACATGAATGCTGGACTTCAGTGCAATTCTAAGCAGAAAGCAGCTCACACGGCAAGTCAGCCAGATGAAACATTTTGCCATTGTTATACATTTTGATTTAAAAAACATTCCAGTGTCTCCTTCAGTACTGTAACAGGAGATACTACTTCATCATTTGTTTTACAAGGTTCAAACAGCCACATTCTAACCTACTGCATAGAGGTACTTCCTGGCTTTCCTCCGGGGACGACTTTTTGAAGCCTGCAAGAAACTCCGGACCCTGTTCTCCTTGGGGGATTTTGAGACTTCACAATATTCCTTCAACAGAGTTTGCAGGGCCACCCGGAGACTGAAATCTGGAATACCTTGGGGAAACAAGCAGAATTAAAAATCAGGCACAGGGAAAAGTTAAAGACAGTTGTACAAAAATTACTGTCTTCTCCTAAAACAGCAGAAAAATCAAGGCTGCTTACTTTTATAAGGCTTTTTCAAAACCATGTTTTAAAGTAAGCTGTGCTTATTTGTTACAGAATACAACTTGTTTGCTACAAATATTTTCATCCATCATGCTATTAATCTAAAAAAATAAGCCCAGTAACTCTGAACAACACACAGTTTGCTCAATACAAGCATCTGGTATTCTTTCTTTCCTTCTTTCACTTACTTTCTATGTATTTTAGCAGCCTTTCTGCCGAGAGCAGAGGGAACCGAACAGGCTCCAGCACTTCTACGACGTATTTCTTCCTTTTCCCCACGTCCTTCAGGATCCATTGCATCGCCGCCATGAAAACCTGGTACTCGTCCTCGATGCTCAGGTCCTCGCTCCGCAGGATCTTCACGAGCTGCTCCTTGGTGAGCGCCAGGAACTCCTCCCCGCCCTGCACCTCCAGGAAGTGCACGTGGATGTAGCTCTCGGTGAACTCCATCAGGTCGTGACAGGCGATCTGCTCGGAGAACTGGAAGAGGCCGATGCAGTTCAGCGGGTCGATCTGCCCCTTGAGGAACTCGCAGCAGAGCTCCACCACCTCGGTGAGCTGCAGCATGTCGGCGGCGACGATGAGCTCCTGGACGTTGTGCTCCCCGATGCTCA